AGACTATGGTCACAATACTGACGACTGCAGGCACCTTAAGGACGAAATCGAAAGGCTGATTAAGGCAGGACACTTGAAGGAATTCATATATAAGGATCGGGAAAAGTCGAACAGAAGGAGGGAAAGGAGCAAGAGCCCTCGCAAGAGGGCGAGAACGCCAGAGAAAGAGGAGCTCCCACTGAAAAGGGGAACCATACATATGATATTTGGAGGATCAATTGATGGGGATTCGAATCGAGCAAGGAAGGCATATGCCCGAGGGCGCCATGGAAAAGTCAAGATACAACAGGTCGATGAGAATGGACCGGTAATAAACTTCGGCCCGACAGATGCGGGAGAAGTTGAGAGGCCTCAAAACGACGCATTGATGATAACAGCCCAAATATCGGGATATGAAGTGCAGAGAGTGTTTGTCGATACTGGGAGTTCCGTAAATGTGATTTTTTACGATTGTCTCAAAAGGATGGAGCTCGACATACAGCTCACACCCCTTCATACCTCACTATTCGGTTTTAATGGGTCAGAGGTCGCCCCTCTAGGCGAAACCATGCTCGCCGTCGTTCTAGGGGAAGGTGACTTGCGGAAGGTGAAAATGGTGAGATTCGTGGTGGTTGATGTCGAGTCAGCTTACAATGTGATTCTGGGGAGGCCAGCACTTAACGCATTCCGGGCGGTAGTATCGAACTACCATATGAAGCTAAAGTTCCCAGTCGGAGACCAAGTTGGAGAAGCTCGAGGCGATCAAAAGCTGTCGAGGACTTGTTATCAAATCGCTGTAAAAACCAATCAACGGGCCAAAGTTAGGGAGGGAAAGAAGCCAATGATGAGCGAGAAAAGGCCAAGGAATAGTGATCTCAAACCCCACGGAGAGCTAATGGAAATACAAATCGGAGAAACAAAGGAACAGACCACTAAGGTCGGGAAAGATCTGAAACTCGAGCTACGAAACCAGCTGATCGCACTACTAAAGGAGTTCAGGGATGTCTTTGCCTTCACCCCTGAGGAGTTGACAGGGATCGACCCCGCTATTATAGAGCATAAACTCAACGTCGACCCCCTCAGAAAGCCAGTAAAACAGCGACTTAGACGTCACGGGGAAGAAATCGACAAAGCAATTGAAGTCGAGGTGGATAAGTTGCTGCGGGCAGGACATGTCAAAGAAATCCAATTTCCCGAGTGGATATCCAACACCGTGATGGTAAGAAAGGCACTAAACAAATGGCGCATGTGCATCGATTTCCGTGACTTAAACCTGGCTTGCCCAAAAGATCATTACCCTTTACCACGAATTGATCAACTCGTCGACTCTACGGCTGGTTGCGAATTATTGAGTATGATGGATGCATCTTAGGGATACCACCAGATCCCGTTATGCCCGGAAGACCAAAGTAAGGTGAGCTTCGTGACGAGTAAAGGGACGTATTGCTATGTTGTCATGTCTTTTGGACTTAAGAATGCTGGAGCAACCTACCAACGGCTGATGGATCGAATGTTCAAATCTCAGATCGGGCGAAATATCGAGGTATATGTGGACGATATCTTGGTAAAGAGTAAAACCTCGACCTCACACCCAGACGATTTAAGGGAAACATTTCAAACTCTTAGGACGTTCGGGATAAAGTTGAACCCAAACAAGTGTGCCTTTGGAGTAAAGGCAGGACGATTCCTGGGATATATCGTCACAGAGCATGGAATCGAGGTGAACCGGGAGAAAGTGAAGGCCATACTCGACATGGCCCCACCAAGAAGCATAAGAGATGTGTAATATCCCGACTTTCTATCAGTATAAATTATAGTTTAGTTCCGATATTGTTTTCGGAATTATTTATTTTCAGTTATTTCAGTCGAATTACCGAAAACTATTTTCGACGTACCGTTTACGTTCGAAATAATTTTGGTAATTAAGCATTATGTTTAATTGGATGATTAAACATAGTTAAGTGATTAATTTAAATTAATCACGAGATTAGCTTAATTGTTCGGATTTTATTCCAAGCCATGCCTAATTGCCGTGCACATTGCCTATTTATGTGTTAATGCCGTGTGCTCTATGAGAGCAAGTGTTAGTATATTTTGTTCAAGTTCATGCCAAGAATGCCGTGCATTGTGGTCAAGATTCTCCCAACATTGTTCTCTTTAGCCGTGCGCCCTCCTTTGTCATGTTGCTAGATATTTGTCCAAGATGCTCCCCTCCTTGTCCTCTTTTGCCGTGGGAGTTTGCTCCCATTTTGTCCCATTTGTCCTCAAAATTGCCGTTCACTTTCAAGCATTTCCTCTTCTCTCTTGTTGGCATCCTCATGTGATTATGGGAGGCAAGGAGAGTTGGCTTTATCTTGCATGCTTTGCCATGTGTCCAAGCTTTAAGTGCATGAGTGTTAAGTGTCATGAGCCTTGACCATATTCCTTCTCCCTCACTTGTCCACTTTCGGCCTTAGTTAAATGGGAGACCTTGGAAAAGTTTGTCCCATTTTTCTTCATGCCAAGACCGAATATAGAGAGAATTAGTGGGAGTTGTGAATTTTGTGAGTGTTGTGCGTGAGCATTGCCGAGAATTTTTCCCCCGAGTCATCGCGCGCCCGAGCTTCCGCACACCACCGGTCATCGCGAGCAAGTAGCCATCGTCGCTATCGTACGCGAGCAGCGAGTACCGTACGCGAGCAACGAGTATCACACGCATAAGCAGCAGCACGCCACGGCGGTCCGAGTACAACGCACGCACGCGGAGTTCATCACGACCGAGAGCGGGAGTTCGAGTAAATTCGTCCCTTGAGCTTTATAAGAGGTAACTCCCGTCGAATATTGACCGAGAGTAGCATGTTCATTAAATTAATTATGTTAGTGAGTCGTGCATGCGTGTTATGTGTGGCGCAAGCCGTAGCCGTGCCATTCATGTCATGTTTCAAGTTAATATCCTCCGACCATTCTTGCATGTTTAGTCTTTTATTGCAATATCATGTTTAGATT